AATGGGAATTGAACCCATGACCTCGTGAATGCGGCTTGTGTGGGAGGACGCAGCCCGTGTCTGTCTTGTATTGTTGTTGTTGAGGAGTAGGAGGAGAAAAGGGGGGTGAGCAGGAGGAGGAAGAGGAGGCGGGGTGAGGGGGAGGAGGAGGAGGAGGAGGAAGAGGAGGCCGGGTGAGTGCGAGGAGGAGGAGGGATTGCAGCTGGTATTCTACAGCAGCATCCAAGAAGGCAGTTGTTAAAGGGTGGTGTTGATGCCAGGAGGAGGAGAAAGGGGGTTGAGAAGGAGGAGGACGAGGAGGAGAGGTGGGGAGAGGGGGAGGGGGAGGAGGAGGAGCAGGAGGAGGGATTGCTGCTGGTACTCCACAGCATTATCCATGGAGGGAGTTGTGATAGGATGGTGGTGATGCGAGGAGGACTTACTTCAGGAACAAAAAGGAGAGAGGATTGCGGTGCTTGTGCACTGTTCCAACTTCCAAGGCTGGCGTCATTGCCGCACCTGTTGTTTGTCCAGCAATATCAGTATCTGACATTGCAGCGCCTGCTGCTGTGTCAGCGGATGACAGCCTTCTGCGCGCAAACGAGGAGATTTTGAGTGTGGCCGTGTGCGGTATGTCAGGGCGCCGAGCTGCCGAATTCCAGAACCATGTTGTTTTGTACTGTGTATCTGGATCTTGTCACAGTCCAGATACGTTTAGAACGATTCGAACTCTGGAATCAGCGTTGAACAAGCTGATGGAACAATTGCCTCACATAATTCCGGAGCACGGAAATGGTCATCTTCGAGGAGAGAGCTCATTAGTTTTTTTCCAGCTGGGCTAAGCTGGCTGACGGATATGGAAGAAGGATCGAACTCAACAAGAATGCATTTGTGCTGGATGGAAATTCTTGCTGTAACAGCTTGAAGCGCAGGAGGGAGAAGAGATGGGAGAAGAGAAGGGAGAAGAGAAGGGAGAAGAGGAGATGGAGAAATTTGCACTGACAGCTTGAGGAGGTGGGAGTGGAGGTGGAGGTGGAAGAAGAAGAGATATGGAGATAGAGGAACGGGGGCGGCCAAGAAGAGGAGACGGAAGAGGAGGTGAAGAAGAGATGGAGAAGAGGAGATGTAGAAGAGGAGATGGAGAAAAAGGTAGCGATGATGGAGAAGGGGGTAAACAAGGGGTGAACAGAGGAGGACGAGGAGGAGGACGAGGACGGGACTCTGTTTTTTAATGGCGCATAAGTGTGTCTCCTTTGGTGGGTGTGTTCTTTTCGCTCATTTTGGTTTTTGTCTTCCGCAAATTTTTGCCCAGCTCTACTTTTTTACTTCTGATTTGTTTTTTTGTTTTTTGTTTTTTATTTTTTATTTTTTATTTTTTATTTTTTATTTTTTATTTTTTATTTTTTCCCGTCGAATTCTAACCATGGATTCTCTGCTATTGGTTTTCTATTCTATGTCGCTGGTTTGGCTGGCAGGTTACTATACACATATATTGTCATGTATATATATATATATATGAGTTGGTGAAACTCCGACGAAACAGTTTGTCACAGCCCCTCGTTTGTTGTCCTCTTCTTCCTCTCTGCCTACGGTTTACCGGGCAGTTCTATTTGACGA